GGACAACTCACCATGGGGGTCTTTAACCACTAGCACTCCACATTTTGGCATCAATTTGCCACAGAGCTCCACATCCAGCTCTAAATATCCAATGTGAGGAATAGCTAATCCATTAGCTACCCTGAGCTGCAGCCAGCGACAAGACTGGAGTCGCTCCTGACCCCACGGCTCAAAATGCTGGAGAAAGAAACTTTCTGTCCCTGTAGACACCATGGACCCAGTATCTACAAGGCAAGGCACACTAACTCACCCTATGTTTACTGTCAAATGTGGACATGATGACACCAACTTAGAAGCTTCATTGAAATCATTCAAGACTCGTCTGGAGCCAGTGGATACCCCCACCAAACTGTGGCTCTGCAGTCCGGCAGGTGCTAGTTTTCAGAAGCCCTAGAGGGACCAGATTGCCTACCAGGTTGTTGAGGCACAGGCAAGTTAGGCTGAGTGCGGGACGTGGCATGTACGCCATCACACTCCCTGGCAAAGTGACCAGGCAGCTGACAGTGGCTACATATTATAGGACCGCTACGAGAGGAACGATTACACTCCTGAGAGTTTTGTAAACAGGCAAGACTCTGGGTGAGTATATTTAACTGCTCTTGCTGAAGCCTCAGCATTTCCCTCATCTCCCCTAACTCAGACACTGGAGGTAAATTGACCACTCCCTGAGAACTGCTCTGAACTCCAAACTGAAGGCCAAACGCCAAGGGGACAAAATGACTACGTCCCCTCATGCCTCCTGGCAATCCCTCACGTTCCCACCTGATCGCTTCACCCCAGACGTCAAGTAGAGTAGCAGTTGGCTTACTGCACACAAACTGTTTTAATTCACAGTGGAGGGCTCCATCAATAGCATGCTCAACAAACTGGTCACGCAAGAGTATTTCAACATTTTGCATGTCACGAGGTGCACGCTCTTTAACTTTGGCCATAAGGCTCATCAAAGCCAGCGAAAACTCCTGCAAANCTGACGAGTCCGACAATGACTAACCGGTGAAATGGAAGCACTTGAAGCTAACGCTGCCTGCTCCGCACTTAGCTAGCAGGTTTCTGCCCTCACATAGCGGCTCTATAAGCTAGTCCAAGCAGCGCAACGCAGTTACAAAAAAACAGAGCAGCTTACCTGGTGAGGAGAACAACAAAACGAATCTTCTCTGTGTCCCGAGTGAGGAAAATAAATCAGTCCAACCATATGCACGGCGGTAAATATATGCTTCTACCGAGTTCGGTCTTCTTCCATCTGCCAGTTGTGCCGGTTCAATCCGGTCACGGCGAGCTGATGTCAGACGTTATGCGCGCCAAGAGATGCGTTTCGTATCTATCGCGATAAAACGTGGAGCAGACCGAAGCTGAAGAACTTTTACATTTCGCCGTTTTTATAACAATTCATGAATTTTTAAACACATTTTAGGCGAGAATGTAACCATGCAGACTACTAATATGTGTTCACGATGCACACAAAATGCCTGGCCATTCGGAGATGCCATTGCAAGTGCCATGTTTCAATATAAACAAGCTTCCCATCGTTTTCAGAATTCACAATAAAAGCTCATTACCTGAGGATATGAAAAAATACATGAACGTACTTTTAAAAAAAAAAACAAAAAACAGAATGTTTAATGTGGTCAGATGTACCGAACTTTACTGACTGGAAGCTGTTCGCTCCGGAGCACTAAACACATTAATTTTGGGGTCTCCCATATTGCCAAAATGTCAGCCCATTAGGCTGATTACTTGTATTTTTTAAGATGTAAATAATATTTTATCAGACTGACCCCAAATGCCAAAATGTTGGTCCTGTTGGCTGCTAATTTTTTATTTTAAAGATATAAATAATATATTATCAGACTAACCTCAAATCTTTTCATTTTTTTGGGAATCTGAAAATCATTTGGATGCACTTTTAGCAACAATGTAATAATTTGTGAACTGCATTAAAACACAAAATAAAAACCACAAGCCATAATTTGTAATGGCATAAAATGAAGTTAAAGAAAGTGAGTCAGTGAAACACACTGGAACCATCCCATCAATACTTACATCAAATCTATGGGAATGAGTAACTCCAATTTTTACTGAGAAGTTTCAATTCTTGAAGTAAGAATTTAAAAAAAGAAGATGAAAAAGAAGAAAAGAAAACTAAGGCACGCATGAAGCATGCTCAACCGTTTCACTTACAGTTGTCTCCTCCCTCAGATTTTGGCTACAAATAACGATAACTGAGGAGCCCTAAANGGAAATATTCAGCAGAAATGCTTCTTTCAGGGCTTATGACATATCAGTGAATTGCTCAAAAATTCATTAGACTTCTGGCCCTATGTACCTAGTACCTGCTAATTATCTCTGAGATATTTTCAACAGTCTGCACTAAAAAAGCAATTGGGTAGTTTTGCCTCACCCACAATACATAGTGATAGGTGAAATGTAAAATGGAATATCCCTAATGGATGTAATGAGGCTGTGATCAACTCTTTCAAAAGCATTTGGTATATCCATTAAGAAATCATCATTAACTCTTTCAAGAGCTTCTTTTTCCGAAGGTGAGATAAATAGTGACACTTTAGCTGAACTTAACATGCCTCCAGCAAAAACTCATGAAGTCAATAGATCTTTTGTTTGCCTTGTCTGCTTTAAGAAAGGCTCATCCATGACTGCTATCAATGGAATAGTGCTTGAGAGAGTACAAAAATATTTCATGGATGATTTTGATCCAAGTGATCAAAAGTTGCCAAATAGCATCTGTACCCAATGCAGAAATATCCTCTTGGATATAGACAAGGGAAAGCCTGCTTGTATAGATGATCCAGTTGATTTTTCAACTTTGAACTTTCCAGTCCTGACATGAGCATTGGGAGGAGTCACTGAACTTAAAGATCTACAGGGTTGTCCGTGCAGTATTTACATGTTTGCAAGGGCCAGCCCTCTTCAAGAAGGCCATAAATTTGGTGGCAAACTCAAGCAAGGTCCTTTTTCCTGTTGGAAGGCCACCTTTGCCATGTCCTGAAAGGCTAGCTACGCCTAAGCCAGTCAAAATCTGCAAGCGCTGTAGGCAGGTGATTGGCAAAGGGATCCAACATCCACAACCTTGTGGTATTTCTGATGGAGGGAGAATCTGCAAGATGAGATGCTTCAAGATCTGAGATTTGCAAAAATGGCTGCTTCGGCTCTCATTAGGCAAAAAATAGATACTGCTCCTAAAGATTCTTCCTCCATTAGGCTTGCCACAAGCGGTTTGCCAACAACGATCCCCATACCTGGTCCGTCCCTTTTTCAGGATGAAAGTGTTCCAGCTTCAGAGCCATGAGCCATAAGGACTATAATAGTCAACTGCACAAGTGTGTTGTAACCTACAACTCACGACACCAGTAATTTTTTGTAGTTGTGTGTGAGAATTTTCTTGCCTTTTCTTGATTTTTTTTTTATCGTCTGTTAGAATTTTGTTCTTTCTTTTCATGTTTAAGATTTTTTAACATACATTGTGTTAGGATGACCGTTGTGCGGCTGGATGAAGCAGGAGACTTGAGGCCAGATAAGGTGCAGACCAACCAGGTGTTTATTCACCAACACTCATATTACAAAATAAGACAAAACCAAAAACACAAGGCAAGGTGATGATTTGGTGGCCTAAGCGGTGACACTCTTTTCCTCTCTCCTGCGCTCCCTCAACTGGCAGCTTTTTATAGGCCGCCCCCTAATCAGCCCCTCAAACCTACCAACATACAGGTTAACCTAAATAAATCATACACAAGAAATACACAGAAATACAATACTTAATTACTCTAACCCTAATAACAAACATTAAAACTACCTCTTTATTTCATAAAAACAGCTGTCAACATCTCCATCAAACGATTGCAATTATTTTATCGCCAATGGAATTTCTTATCTCCCCTCTCCTCATCTGGACTTGGTCTGTCCCGGAACCTTTAAAAAGGTGTTCCAGCCCATGGGGACTCTTTTGGCTGGAACACCTGAGGAGACAAAAGAGGTGAGTCGTCACACACTTCACATTCATGCTTAAAACAATGCCACATACCCGTTTCTCTGGTAATCCTGTTCCTGAAAACGGCTTTTTCTCTTTAGGCCTCACTACCACTGCTACTCAGTGCCGTGAGGAGAAGACACCACACAGCACACGCTACCAAACACTATTAAACTCAACCTTATTGACTGGTGTCTTCTTTATCCCAGACTGTTACCCATGTGGGTAATGAAGCTCAACTTCATTACACATTGAAAAACCAAAAAATAAACAAAACAAAAAACCTGTCTGTGATTGGTACCTTGATGTGGTAGATAGGCTTAAGGAGGCATGTAACTCCTCTGAACTAAATCCAGTCAAACACTTTTGAGAATATTTACACTAAGCGGCCCTTAAAACATCAATTTTCATGTCTTAAATGCCATTTTGGTCCACAATTGACAATACTGTGCCTTTGTGATGATCTCAAAACCATCTTATNAAAAAAACCCAGGATTCCAACACACACGGGAAGGGGGATACCACCACCGTCGGCACCAGCCCACCACGGTGGCGCTCAGCTCTAGAACAGGGGGAAAAGGGGATTAATGGGAATACTCAGTTTAAACAAAAAGAAACAAAACGAGTAAACTACACAAACAACAAATTATACAAACAAATTCAAAAGAAACTTTGAACGAATTCAAAAGAAAAAATATATTTGCAACTCAGGAAATGCTCAACTGAAAATACAAAAGAATTTGGACATTCAGGTTCAAAATAAACAAAAACAACCAAAAACAAAATCAGACAGTCCCCAAAACTAAACGATCACAAAACTGAAAATTAATAAACAATCCTCCCAACTAAATATTTAACAGAAACATACCATAAGGCTAAACAAAAGAAAATAAAGCAAAAATGAATGAAACAATCACCGAGCTCCCACACTGTGGGTATAATTAAAAGAGAGCCTCTGAGGCTCGACCATAAAACGTGAAAGCAACCCACACCGAAACAATCCCAGCTGCTTTCAGGAATGGAGCAGCGGCCAGCCGGGCGACCAGGCGGCGACTCCTCACCGCTACAGTGAGGAACACAGCGCGGTGAAACGGCAGCGGGGCGAAGTCAAAGCAAAGCTAACCCAAGCCAAGCAAAGCAGAGCCAAGCAAAGCAGAATGAAGCAAAGCAGCAGCGTGGTGGGCAGAGGCACGTAGCTGCACTGGCTCTCCAGTACAGCCAACGAGGAGACGGCGGGTCACACACCTACAGGGGAGAGCGCGTCAGGAGTGCTCAGACTGCCGCAGTGTCCAGCAGGAATCTGAATGACTTCATGGAGCGATCAACCAGCTCGTTTCCCGCGAACGTTTGAAGCCGCGACGAACCGGAGGTGAAGCGACCGGAAGGGGCGTGTCCTTGGCCGCAGTAGAAGAGAGAGAGCGTGCAGAGGGCCATAACCCACCTTATATAGTCCGACTAATATGCCACGATTGGCTTACAAGCCCAGGACTATCCTGCTACAACACCAACAGCCGAAACCAGATTCCTTGTATGTT